ACATTTTACCAACGAATTAAAACAACTGACTCTATATTCATATAGTTCAAGGGAATCAAAGCAACAAATAACTTTAGAAAGCATAGAAGCAATAAGATGGCATTCAAAATTAATGAAGTAGCAATGGGGAAGATGGACCTTCGTTACTGAAAATTTTCCAACGAGTACAGTGCAAAATAATCTCCAAAGAAAAATCAATCCTCAAGCGAGCTACGGACAATTTCACTCGATTCTGACTGTTTCGATGCCAAAATGAACCAACATGAAGTGCTTCAAACCAAGGACCAAAGACTCAAGCAGCCAATCGGAAACCTTGACATGACAAACCTCGAACGGGCTTCAACCAAAAACCAGTGGAAACGATCGTCACTACTCGATCGGGTAACTCGGGACTTGCCGGAAACTTTGATGACATCAACTTACAAAGCTTAAACAGAGGAGTCAATATCTGGTGAAGCTTTGAAGAAGAAGAAGAAGAAAGAATTCAGGCTGGTGTGGAGAAACCGAAGCGACGACCTAGTGTTTGTAGGGTGGTCATTTGCGAGGTGAAGCGTTGCTGGGATTGTGAGCGTTACAGAACAGGGGGTTGTTTTGAGAAGATGGAGACGGGGGACGGGGGTCCGTTTTGCACTGTTGCGGCGCTTCTTTTTATTTCAGTTCATCTCCCCTTTTTCAAATTTTTTTAAGTATTATTTATAGGTAGAGTCTATGTCTAGGTATATTTTTGTGTATTTTGCTCATTGGTCCCTAGGTTTTTTGTGTTAATTCCTTAGGGTCTTTTTTTATTTATTTGTTATCCCAAAGAAGATTCTAGAAGGGTCCCCTAAACTACACAATGACTCTTTGTTTTTAATTTTGTATATTTTTTTTTAAAAATAAGATAGAAATAGTACACAATGCCAAAGCTAATCCTAGTTAATGAAACTATATATTTTTTTGTTTTTGAAATTATACAAAGATAAAAATAAGGTACTATTTTTGTATTTTTTTTTGAATTTATGAAAAATGCATAAACTAAAATATTTTTTGTAATTTTCATTTTTCTTGTACTAAAATAAAGTAAAAGCGTCAAAATTAACTGAAATATCGCTATTAGGCCAAATTTAAATTACATGCTAAAATATGAAAAATCTTGGGGAGGGTCAAAAAATCACATGTCTACACATTACATTCCTAAACTCGGGTGCACATTTATGTGACCCAAATCCAAATCTCAACAACGTTAGATAAAAATGTGTTACGGACTGCGGGTGCATTTATGTGACGTGGTTTAAGACGCGTTTTACGTGACGTTGAATCTTCCGGAAAAATATTAAATAAAAGTGGTTTTAAAGTAAAAAGGCACATAGGCTTAAAGGTGTTTTAAATCAGATAAATAGGCCAATTATAACAGTTGAGTGACCGTGCTAGAACCACGGAACTCGGGAATACCCAACACCTTCTCCCGGGTTAACAGAATTCCTTACCCGGATTTCTGTGCTCGCGGACTATAAAACAGAGTCAATATTTTCCTCGATTCTGGATTTGAACCGGTGACTTGGGACACCATAAATTATCCCAAGTGGCGACTCTGAATTTTTAATAAAATAATCCCGTTTTGATAGTCACTTAAATTGGAAAAAAACTCCCTTTATATACCCCCTTGCGGGGTGAAGGAAAAAGGGAGGTGTGACACTATCCATACACCATATTTGATTGCTCCCCTTCACTTGGACCTATAAAAAGAAATAAGGAATTAGTTTTAGGAATCTAAACTAGTTCGGGTCCCTTTCTATAAGCAAAATGATGAATCAAATTCTTTTTAGCCCAACTTGGCAGCCTATTCTTCCCTACAATAAAATCTTTGTTCTTCTGATTTGCCTTTGCTTTTGCAGTACATTCACTCTTATAGTGACCAGTATTACCACAGTGTGTGCAAATCTTGTTCTCAGGGAATGTGAGGTACTTGCTTTTAGGATCCCACCTCGGTACAAAGTTCTCATAGCCAAGTCCTCTTCTATTGCTACTATGGTGTTCTTGTAGCCATGAAAGTGCATCAGGAGACCTGTTCCATTTACAAGTTTTGTCTAGCTCATGCATAACCTTATTTAGGTCCTCCTTTAATACTCTTACATGTTCATCCGTTTTATACAACCTATCTTTCATTTTACTTAAATTCTCTTCTATATTGAGTTGTGTGTCACCAGCTATCTTTTTACATGTTCCTAACTTCAATTTTAGATTTTCAGATCTAATTTCTAGGACAATTGTATCGAGTGCATGAACTGGTTCTTCAGTACAGTATTTTCACTTCCCGTTTCACAAGTCCTAAGTTCTAGATTTTTGCACTTAGCTTTTAAGATGGCTCATTCTTTTGACAGCTATTCTTTTTCATTATTCACATCCTTAGATTCATCAATCAGCTCAAGTAATAGTTTAGATAATCTTTCTTTGGACAGAAATTTATTATTGTCTTTGAGATGAAAGACACTACCTTAGTTTCTTCATCAGTCTCTCCAATAGACATTAATGCTTGTTCATCATCATCATCATCATCATCTGAGATTTCATTTGAGATTTCTCCCCGAGCAACAACCATAAGCTTAGTTGAACCTTTGTTTTTGCCTTTCTTGGGATGAACTTATTCCTTCTTCATGTTCCTTTGTTAAGCTCTTTCCTTCTTCTATTCAATATCCCACAAAGGATAATTTTTGATCAGGTGATCTGTCTTTCCACGCTTGTAGAAGTCATCATTTATTTATTTCTTCGGAGCTCTTGCTTTGTTGTAGCTTCCACTTCTTGAAGAACCATTTCCTTTCCTTCGGTACTTCTTGAAGTCTTTAGTGATCATTGCCATTTCATCATCTTCCAAATCAGAACCTTTAATGATTCTTAGTGCCAAACTCTTTTCCTTCTTACGTACATCCATTTTCATGGTTTGTCTCTTAAGTTCATAGGCAATGAGATTTCCAATCAATTCATCCAGAGGGAGAGTAGCAATATTCATTGATTCCTAGATGGCAGTGATCTTGTTTTCCCGAGTAATTGGTAAGACCCTAATAAGTAACTTCTTAACTATTTCTTCTTCAGGGATAATCCTGCCAAGAAATTTTAGTTCATTTGTCAATATAGTGAACCTTGTGTACATCTCCTGAATGGTTTCTCCATCCTTCATAGTAAAGTTTTCATAATAAGAGTACATCAGAGTTCCCTCTTCACCTGAGTAGTTCCTTCATGGGTCACTTGCAGTATGTCTTAAATTTGCTTGGCAGTGGAACAACTTTAGATTCAGATGTATTCATCTGGACCAAGTCCACAGACAAGCTATTTTTTGGCTTTGGCATTCTTTTTCCACTTCTTCAGATCCTCAACATTGAAATCAGCTCTTGTCTTTGACACTTCTACTCCTTCAGCATTTTTCTTCAAAGTAGCCAGTGGATCATCAGTGACAATATCCCATAACTCATAGTCCTTTTCCTGTATGTAATCTCTCATTCTTGACTTCCACCAAGAGTAGTACAGGCCGTTAAAGAGTGGTGGCCTAGTAGTGAATTTCCCTTCCCAGTTTTCAGGTGGTACACTCATTTTGATCTTCTCCCAAGGTGTTAGCCACTTTAAGGATAATCTGCTCTGATACCAATTGATGTTTTATACTTCAACACCACATAAGAGGGATGGAGGGAGGGTGATTTGTGTGGTGTCTTATTTTTCACATGCATAGATTATAGAAAGACCTGGTTATTTTACGTGTTCTTTCTACTACAATTGCGAAATAATAAGGGTAGAAAGTAAATAACACAAGTATTTTTACGTGGAAAATACCTAACTTAAAAGGTGAAGAAATCACGACCTACTACCCAGTAGGATTTTTCGCAATACTTCACTAAATCACTGAGCCAAAACAACATTTATAAAAATCTTGTAAACTTAAGGGTTACCGCTAACCTTTGTGGCAACCAGCCTCAAGCTGTTGCGACAATTCCAAGTTAACTCTAACTTGAATGCTACAACTCAAAGTAACTATTTCTAGATAAAGTTGAAAGGTACAACTCAAAAGCCTACTACAATTGAACTAGAATAAAAGACAGATACTTAGAACTAGTTCTTCTATTTACTTCATGTAGCTTAAGGTTCGCACTTGAAACACACAGGAATTGCTTGCAAAATGCCTTGCTATTTTGCTCTCAACTCTTGCTTAAATCTAGCGTTTGCGTGTCACCTGCAAAAGAGAACAAACTCATATATACATAGTTAGTAGAATAAGAAATAACTAGAGTTCTAATGCTTTACTTTTTCATGGTCGAAGAGTTCTAGTTATCTTCAACTTCTAACTCCTCCCTTATTTAGGATAGAGTTCTCCTCAAGTAGGAAGTCTCACTCCTTATCAATTATGTAACTTTTCCGTTCAGGAGATATCATATATAACCACTTGTGCTTATCTCCTTCGCGTGCATGCCTTATGCTTGAATCTGCCCGTGCCCTGTGCACACCGTGTATGGACATGGTTCATGCATGAGTTCCTTTGTCAATCATCAAAACAAACTTACTTAGACCAACACAAATCTTAGCCAATTCAAGCGTTATGTTGCTAATAAGAGAATAAATCTACAAAACAAGCTACAATTACAAAGTTTTCCCATCAATCTTGAAAGAATTTATTTTTTAGGTAGTTTAAAAATATCCGATTTAGAGTTTAAATCTTTATATGTTTAGTTATGAATCTATTAATAATGTAGTAGCTTTCTTCAACTAGTGAAATAGGCATCTCTTTTGAGATTTTAAATTTAAATAATTTTTTTTTATCTTTTATATGTACCATTAAACAATGAAAAATAATTAATTTTTGAATAATTTTTATCTATAACAGCCAAAATACATTTAAACGTCAAATGATATTATAGGGGTATAAAAACCATTTACTATGAAAGCTTAAAAATATCGAAATAAACGAAATTATTATAGAAAGGAAACTATTAAAGAATTTGTTATTTAAGCACTCCCTCCTTAAATATAGTTACCATGCGGCACAATTCCAAATGAGTGGTGGTAAAGAATCTAGTAGAAATTTTCTACTATTTGTCACCCAAAAAGTTTAAAAGAATCCAATTCCACATCTGACGAGACTTATTAATTTGAAAATTCAAATTGTTAAATTTAATAGGAACATCCATTGCTTTCGCATTTTATTGTCATTTCTAAAGGGCAGAGTCTTTTCTAGATCTGCCCCTTTCTCGCTCTCTCCTGATTCGTTGTTCATCACTGTAAGATCTCTCTTCTCCAATTCATTGATTTTCATCACACACACACACATCGTTCGGTTGCTAACAATTGATATGATAAAGTTTGTTTATTTGTGTATCTATTTTGTTGATCGAGAAGTTTATGGAATTTAAGATCTGGATTTAGGCCTTTTAGATCTGTTTTTTTAATAAAGTTTTCATCTTTATTTGATATTCATGTGTATTCTTCGTATTTCTATTGATTTGATCTGGTTATGCTTTCTGGATTGGTCTCAATCTTTTGGATTTGGATTTTTGTTCTTTTTTATAAATGGATCTGGATTTTGGTTAGTTATTGACATGTTCAAGGATCAGATTTACATGCAAGGGTCCTTGATTCAATTGATTATTAAACTTATTGATATGGATCTCTAGATAAATAAAGGAACATTGAAATTTAAGATGATTTTAGAAAAAAGGATCCAAAAGTTGCCTTTTTTATCACCATATTATATTTTGGATTTCTGTTGGCTTGAAATCTCATCTCTGGTTCTCATTTTCCTATGCTTGTGCATTTATGAAACCTGTTGATACAATAAAATTCATTTGTATAAGCTTGATGGTGAATGTAAATTGTGTGGTGATCTGAGTTTTTATTTTTGGTCCAACAGGCATTGAGAAAAGATGGGTTTATCATTCGGGAAGCTTTTCAGTCGGCTGTTTGCCAAGAAGGAGATGCGTATTCTGATGGTCGGTCTTGATGCAGCTGGTAAAACCACCATATTGTACAAGCTCAAGTTGGGAGAGATTGTTACCACTATTCCTACCATTGGTAAGCTATGTTTGTGTACTATATGAATGATCTATAATTGTTTTATTGCTCGTGGGACTGATCTTGTGCTTTGATATCTATTATATTAACATTGTCATTCTGTTTTTGTTTTGAGTAATTGCTGCTGCTATTCAAGATTTTGCCAAAAACCATTCCTAAACTATACCCACAATTTTAATATATATCCTTAAAATATCCATGTGATCAAAAAAGCAGTCTTAAAATTTCCCAGAGTGAGTAGGTTTCATCCTTCCATTACATACTGTAAAAAAATTAGTGGAATAATCGCGGAATTGACGTGTGACATCCCAAGTCCGAAACTACCATCCCTAAAACATTCATTGCCCAATCATCTTACCACAAAATTTCCTTGCAACCTAAGTTGGTCGAACTAGGGTGCGGGTATTCGATACGGGGACGGATCCGAGTAACGGATTCGGCAAAATCTAAATTTTAAGATTCGGGGGTGCGGATCCGGATATGGATACGGGTACGAGGATTCGGCTAATAAAAAATAGAGCTATAAAAATATTGTAAATTTTGAGAGATGTTATGTGAAAAACTTACATTAATATTGTAGAATTCAATCTTTCATTCTCCAAGATGGACATTATTCTTTCATTCTCCTAAATCTGTTTTATTTTGAGAAATCACAATCTCAATTTTTCTCCCAAATTTATCAATGGACTCCGGTCAAAATGTTCGAAGTCAGTTGACCGTATCGGGGACGTATCCTGCTCCCGTCCCCGTCTCGTATCGGGACGGGAACGGCACCAAAATCGAAGAGTCCCCGCAACTTACCTTTCAACATAACCTTCACTGAAGAGTAAATGCTTCCAAACGTAATAGGATACAACATGGTAGCAGAGCTTGTTGGACACACTTTTGTCTACAGGACAACTTCAAATTAGACAAGTCAATAATCACAGCTATCATCTGTGAAGTAAATTTTGTTAATTTAAGAAAAAACTAGCAACTGTATCTCCAAAAACATATATAGATAATACTTAAGCAATAATGATAACACATAATACTTGCAAAAACTCTTTATGACCGCAGCTTGACATAACTCATCAAAATCCAGAAGTAAATAAAAACCAGCTGTGTTAAACTTTTGGGACTAACCCTTTACAACAAGTCAGAAGAAGAACATAGCTTCACACAAGCAACATAGCACATGCCAACTGAAATTACAGCAGCATTTGTCGATTGCTGATATTTGAGATCATGTCAAACTTCCATCTTCAGCAAGTAGTTAGAGCTAAGCAACCCCTTGATATTTATTTTGATGAATCAGTGGACGAAAAGTGCTTCAGCAGGGATCAGTCAAGGAATGTATTGGGAATGGCATTGTTGGGATGTCACGTGCATGTGACATTGGGTTCTGCTAGTCGTTTAACAGTAACGAGACATGATACCTGCTCACTTTGAGAAACTTTAATGATGTCTTTTGTTCACAGGGATAGTTAAAGGATGTTGTTAGGTCGTGGGTATAGTTCAAGAATATTTTTGGCCAAAAACTCTTCCCATTCAGTAACCCAAAGTCTCTCTATAACTTGACTAAGTGATTCATTCTGAAGGGATTCTATACTTGTTGAAGAACTTTAAAACTATCTGCTTTTATATGTTTTGAGGAAGGGTCGGGTCGGTGGTTCATGTGTACACATGCCCGCACACTCAGAGGGGGAGGGAGGGATAGAGCCTCAATCTCTTACCTGAGTGATTGGCTTTCTTTTATTTCTCACAATGGCATATGTTCTTTTTCAGCTATACTTGATATTCTGAATCCAATAAATCTTGTAAATAACTCCTGATCAAGAAAAGATAATTGTCAATAACTTTCTAGCATTGCAATTATGTCCTCTGTTTCTAGTAGTATGATTGTTTTGCACATGTTTGCCATAGTTGATTGATTATAGCTATTGCTCTTAACACTTTCTGCAATTACTCATTCGTTATCAGGATTCAATGTGGAGACTGTTGAATACAAGAACATAAGCTTCACTGTCTGGGATGTTGGTGGTCAGGACAAGGTACTTAATGACATATGATACCAAAGTGCTATGCTATCTGCGGTATTTAACATTAGTTTGTTAAGCAAGTGAAGATACATTGCAAGTTCTACTTTGATTTTGGCTGACTTTCATACTGACCTTATTTCAAGTTGCAAGATAAAGGAGCATTTCTGGTATTGGAATTATGTTTCCTTTCTTGTACTAGTGTTTCAGGTTCACCAGGCTTGTTTTTTTTTGCTATACTTGCTCGATATTCCCACTCACCAAAAAATTGAAACATAAAACCTAGAAATCATCTTTTTTCTATATTATCAAATGCTTGCCTTTTCTGCTGCTATCAAGTACTGGCTTACCTAGAATCTGCAGCTGCAAGGACTTCTATTAGATGTATGGTCAAGGGTTATTTTATTTATCTACTCTTAAGACATGTGATGGAGATCTATTGATACTGTGACATGACTTTTTGCGGAAGTTGACATACTTCGTGTTGCCTATTGTTCCCTTTCAAATTTCTTGTATTTCCAGATCCGACCATTGTGGAGGCATTACTTCCAAAACACACAAGGACTTATCTTTGTGGTTGATAGTAATGATCGTGATCGTGTTGTTGAGGCTAGAGATGAGCTGCACCGGATGTTGAATGAGGTATGAAAATCATGCTTCTCTTTTTTCCAGTTAAGACTATATCGAGTCTTGGGGCCCATGTTTGATGTATACAGAAGATATATCCAGAAATGTGTCTATAGAGCACTTGAAAGTCTGAAATGATCTGTAATTACCCACTTCCCGTTTTAGTTAACATTCTTGGTGTTGGCTCCTTTCACTTGTGTCCTATTCTGAATGACTTTTGCCAATGTATGCATAGGATGAACTGAGGGATGCTGTGCTGCTTGTATTTGCTAACAAGCAAGATCTTCCAAATGCTATGAATGCTGCTGAGATTACTGACAAGCTTGGTCTTCATTCTCTCCGTCAACGTCACTGGTATGTGCTATGTGTTGCTTCTTTAATTGTGAGATGTTTTAAATTTATGTGTATAATGAGCATGGCTGGAGATTACCACGGTTCTCATGTGCTACCAAATACTGAATCTATGACCTTGCGTGACACAGGTACATTCAGAGCACTTGCGCTACCTCTGGAGAAGGGTTGTATGAGGGGCTTGACTGGCTCTCAAACAACATTGCAAACAAGGTGTGGACGCACTCATTATCACATTTGGTTTTATTTGTCACTTTTATTAGCTCTAAAGTTCTAACATTCTTGTTATTGCAGGGTTGAATGCGAGATCCATGATTTTTGCAGCTATGTTTTTGTCAATATAGACTTCAACAATGTCTAGAGCACTTATGTACTTACTGATCTTTCTTTCACGGGATAGATCTGCTTATCCCTATTGTTATCAGTACGTTTGCCCTTTCTTTTAAAGAATGGTACTCTGCAGTAACTTTAGGTTAAATTCATGTAATATTTTGCACTTTGGCTGACATATGCTCAGCGACTTTGGCTTCAACATTTTATTTTAATTGAGATTAAGGTTCTCTCCCCGTAATGATTTGGTTAAAGTTGGTGATGTTTCTCTGTACTGCTGGTGAGCTTGTCTTTACTATTGCTTGTGCTACTTGTCTACTAGATAAAATTGAATTTGAACTTTTCTGATTGTCAGTAGTAGGAGGGTATAATGTCTTTGTGAGGTGGCTTTATTATCTTAAAGCAATCTGCAGAATTGGTCAAGATTAACAAATCCCTCACGCCTATGACTACATTTTCACGCAATCTCTAGCCAAGCAAAAATATCAGATTTAATATAAGTGTGCCATAACGAGTAGCCTGTATATCCGAATTAGTTAGTGTCTGCATAGTGGTGGCAAAATGGATTAAAATAAAAAACAGATCCATCTATATTATCCACTTGAAAAATGGGGACAAGATCTACATTACCCGCTTGAAAAATGAGGATAAGATCCATATTATCCGCTTGAAAAATGGATAATCAATGGGTTTAACTTTTACATTTTCAAAGACTTAAATTGGGGGTTGTTCAAGTTCGGGAGACTAGAAATTCTCCCAAAAATGATCATATTCAAGAAGCCATGGGTAATATGGATATTTATATTATTCACCGGTTAACCCATTTTTTATTCGTATTAAATATGGATCGGGTCGGATAATTTATCGGTTTTTAATACTACGCATTTTCGCTCCGCCCTCCAACCCGACCCGCCTGTTTGTCACCCCTAGTGTGGCCTATGCCATACTTTATTTCCTTTGTGTTCTGTTCTACCGTTAATCTGAATTGATTCGTATTTTCTAAACGTAAATTTTGTTTTCGTCGTGTTCACTGTTCAGTTCCTCGCTAAGTATACTTGTGCATTTGAAGGGGTGCAATAGACATCAAACCATCTCATCCATGATGCAACCTCTCAGTTTTTCCTCTACATGTTTTTTTTTTTTTTTTGGGAACTCAAACAAAAACTTTTATTGGACTGAATCAGAAACCAACAAGTTTATAATAAAACTAGGAGTATACTCCCAACATATAATGCTCTGTAAGAAAAATATGGGCGTTGATTATAAAACGGAATTTTTACGCCCTATAGAAAACCTTAGTGCCCTATTTATTTTAAATAAATATCATTTTAAAATATTACATCCTATAAATACCTTTTATCCTTTATAGCAAAAAATCTAAATAGAGTTACATCCTACAATTAAGGCACCATATATGCTAAATATTATTTTTCTCTCTCCCTTTTTATATTTTCTCTCACATAATTATCGCGTATCTGCAAACTAGGGGTGGGCATAAAATCCGAAAAACCGAATTCCGAACCGGACCGAATTAATTCGGTGTTTCGGTTTTTTCCGGTATTTCGGTCCAATTCGGTATTGCAATTCGGTATTTCGGTACGGTCTTCGGTATTAAAATTCTGAAATTTCGGTATACCGAAATATCGAAAATCCGATTTTTAAAAGACATTTCCTTAATTATTACTGCCCAGCCCATCGCCCCATCCCCAAACACCCAGCCCATCGCCCGCCCCAGCCCCAAACGCCCAAGCCCAAGCCTAAACTCTAAAGGTCATTTGTCCAATTCAGATACAAAAGAGAAAGTGAGAAACCCTGATCTGCTTCTTCTTTCAGATCAGATCTAATTCAAATAGACGCTCTCGATTCTGTGTTCGATCCTCTTAGAGATTTCGCCAAATACAGCGTTAGGCTCGTCAAAAGATGTCACAAGCCTGATCGTAAAGAATTTACCAAGGTTGCTACTCGTACAGCGATCAGTTTTGTTGTGATGGGATTTGTTGGATTTTTACCAAGGTTGCTAATCGTAAAGAATTTACCAAGGTTCCGAGCTCCGACTCCTCACTCCTCAGTCCTCACTCCTCACAAATTCCGGGCAAACGAAGATGCTGCTGTTGCGAACTTGCGATAGTTTCAATTTTCAAAGGTATGTTTCTACTTTCTAGCGATTTCTACTTTCTACCGATGGAAATGAATTTGATGAAGATTTCTAACGATGTTCTTTAGCGAAGATTAATTTTATATTCGAAACTCATTTTTTTGGATCAAGTGTTTGATTAGGTATAAAGTAGGTTGACATATGAGAATCCTATAAGGTATAGCAGTAGAACAGGGAATGAAGATAGTAGTTTCGTGAAATTTCTTTAGCAGTAAGCGTTGGCAGTTGTGTATTGATATTGATTGAAGTAACTGATACAGGAAAATGATTAATTTATGTAGCCCGTTGCACAAACTATAGTAATTGTATCTTACTAGAGCTAACTGGATAGAAACTGTACTAATTTCTGCTGCTGCTGCTCTCTGTTCTTTAGCAATGGACATAGTACTCTAATTAATTATGGATAGATCATATTAACTGGATAGAAACTGTACTAAGATGATTACAAAAAGATTTTGTTTTCTCTTTCTATTTTGTTAAAATCTTCTTTAGACTTGGTGGAATCTTCAACTTTATTCAGACTGATATAAGACTATATGTTAATCGGCGGGCTAATGGACTCAATATTGTGTTACTGCCCATCAACGGGTAAACATAAATCCTTCCTCAAGTTGAGTAAATTTTCCTGTGAATTGAGAAAACAAACATGGAGAACAAAGAAGAAGATGTAAGATTAGGAGCAAACAAATATTCATAGAGGCAAGCGATTGGGACGGCTGCGCAGAGTGACAAGAATTATACGGAGCCACCACCAGCGCCACTGTTTGAGGCAGGAGAATTGACGTCTTGGTCATTCTATCGTGCTGGAATTGCTGAGTTCATGGCCACTTTCCTCTTCCTTTACATCACTATCTTAACAGTGATGGGTGTTTCAAAGTCTGAGTCCAAATGCTCCACTGTTGGTATTCAAGGCATTGCTTGGGCTTTTGGGGGCATGATCTTTGCCCTTGTCTACTGTACTGCTGGCATTTCTGGAGGACACATAAATCCAACAGTGACCTTTGGGTTGTTCTTGGCAAGGAAACTGTCGTTGACAAGGGCAGTGTTCTACATGGTGATGCAGTGTCTTGGTGCTAGGGATTCACATGTCCCTCTTTTGGCACCATTGCCTATTGGATTTGCTGTGTTCCTGGTATACTTGGCCACAATTCCAATCACTGGTTTCTCCGCTGCTGCATCTTAGTTCATGCTTGCAGATGCTGTTCAGATGGTTTGGTTGTGTACTGTGTTAAGTGTTAAGTGTTAAGTTGTGTAATGTGTTGTGTAGTTGTGTACAGATTCAATTGTGTACTGTGTTAAGTGTTAAGTTGTGTAATGTGCAGTTTTTGGTTGTAAAGAAGTTGTTGTCTTGTTCAGCTTTTGCTTTTCACTTATTCAATTGTGCATGTGCCATCAGATTCAGATCAGCCATGTGCAGTTGTGCACTGTTATATATCGGAAAACAGTGCACCGAAATATTGATTATTTCATTGATTATTCATTGATTGTTAAACCGAAACTGTACCGAACCAAAATAAGAAATACCGAACCGTACTGAAATATTTTGGTATGGTATTTGGTATACACAATTGATAAACCGAATACCGAAATACCAAACTGAAATTCTTAAATACCGAAACGAAATACCGAACGCCCACCCCTACTGCAAATCCCAATACAATCTCTCTGTGTTTGCATACAACCAGACTCTCTTCTCCCACAAACCCTAGTTTCTTAACTCTTCTCCCACCC